TTTTGCTCGCAACAGAATACGCTACATCACCAGGCCTGAAATTCTGGAATTGGACAACCTTGAACTACGCTGCCTACAGTTGGACTTAAGCGTAGTACACAAAATTATCTACTACAATGTCCTACCAGTCAATGACTACTTCAGTTTCAACTGCAACAATACAAGGGCACACAACAGATACAAACTCAATGTTAACTGCTCCAAACTTGATTGCAGAAAGTATGACTTCAGTAACAGAGTGGTCAATGCCTGGAATGCGCAACCTGATTCTGTTGTTACATCCTCTAACCCCTACTCCTTTAACTTCAAACTTTCTACTATTGGCCTCACCCCTTTCTTAAGAGGTCTGTAAAGGGCGTGCATAAGTGCACCATCGTGTCTACTGTCCCTGTCCTATTGTCCCCATTTATTTGTACCTATTTCCTGCATTCTGACTCATGTTTACACTTATACCTAATATCTTGTCAGTGATTGACAAATGAAAATAAATAAATGAATAAATAAAATAAATAAACTCAGAGTTAGCTCTCTCTGGACAATTAAGCACAATTAGGCCGAGCAAGAATTTAAATGCCTGGGATATCTTGCTAGGAGATTAGGCGTTCCTCACTGGATTTGGGATCCTCCCTTGGAGATCTGCATTGCTCTTGCCCTGCAGTCCATTGTAATGGCAATTCAGGCAACCCACACCATAACAGAAACGACAACAACCAACAACGAAAAAGGCAACACCTCCAACACCTCATAAATAGAACCTTCCCTTAGCAGGAACATCTGGTGAAGCTCTGGAGAACTTCGCAAGCATGAAAACTCTGCTGGTTGCCTTCTTGGTGGCTATCATTTGCACAGAGAAAGGTATGGCCACTTTTTAAAAATCCCATTACAAAATGAAGATAGTGTTATTTGTTAAGTGTTGACGGCTTTTTTATTAATTTAAAAAAAAGGATGGGGTAGTTCTTAAAGGCATTTTGGTTTGTAGGAAGGCATCCCAGGTGGGTGACGATTTCAGGAACTGGGCCTGGCTAGTCTAGGGAAGAGAAGGACCAGGAGAGACAGGAGAGCAGTCTTTCAATAGTTGAGGGGCTGCCACAGAGAGGAGGAAGGGGTCAAGCTATTTTCTAAAGCTCCTATAGGCCAGACAAGGAATAATGGATGGAAACTGAACAAGGAGAGATTCAACCTGGAAACAAGGAGAAACTTTCTGATAGTGAGAACAATCAACCCATGGAACAGAAGTTGCCCTTGGAAGTTGTGGGAGCTTCATCACTTGAGACTTTCAAGAAGAGATTGAACTGCCATTTGTCAGAAATGGTGTAGGGTCTCCTGCTTGGGTGGGGGGGTTGGACTAGATGACCTACAAGGTCCCTTCCAACTCTGATTATCTGTTATCTGTTACCTAAAAGGAAAACATCATAAGATGCCCAGAGTCATGTATTTCAGATGGGTAGCCACATAATCAAACAACCTAATAAAAAATAAAATAAAAAATAATCAAATAAATAAGACATCAAAGTTTCTTCTAGGTTTGCACCAGACTTCCATTTTGGCTCAGCCGACAAATCGGGTAGCTCTTGCCTGACTGTTTATCGCAGGTAGCTTTGTCAGGTAGACTTCACCTGAGACTGGAAGCTCCAGAGATATAGTGAATTTGATCACACAGCTGGACAAATCTGTGAGAAAGTGTACATTCAGTTGTCAAACTTGGCTATGGTGATGTAGAATTTATGGTAGTTTATTCATTTAAATAAATACATGAATTCTTAATTTTTTTAAAATGTAAGCTGCCTCAAGGCCTTTGCAGCTCGCCAGCCTATAAGAATAATTAAATAAATACTCTTATAGGCTGGCGAGCTGCAAATGTCTTGAGGCAGCCTATGTTAAAAAAAAATTAAGAATGCTTAAAATAAATATGACAAATCAGATATTCCTGCTTATTTATATTCTGCTCCATAGCCAGAAGGTGAATAAGATGCAATGTCAAAGGATAGAAATACAAAAAGAAAAAAAATGTTTGGATAGTATCAGCAAAATAATAATAACAACAGCAGCTTATATTCTGTGATGATACTTAGACCATCAGACAACATCTGCCTCTCCCAAGTCTTTGGAAAAACTTGATAGATTGATATCCAGTCTAAACATCTGGCTGGTTGTACAACCTACCAACCAACCATAATAATAATGATAATACTAATACCAATAAAACTAATAATAATACGTTCTACCATAACCTTCTATGATCCAAATAGAACATAATGTTTCAGAGTTCTAATTCCTGAAATTCTTTAAAACTAAAACACCGGAGGAAAAAAGAAGTTAAAACCACTTCTGTCTTCTCCCTTTCTTTCTTGCAAACATTTTTGGTATTTTAAATCAGTTTGGGGCTGGAAACAGTTGGGATTGCGATCGGCAAGACAAGAAGATTAGTTTCCATCCATTGTTTCTTGTCCTGCCTTCTGGAGCTTTGGAAAATAAGTTGACCTCCTCTTTTTTGTGGCAACCCCTAGAAGATAGATAGATAGATAAATAGATAGATAGATAAATAGATAAATAGACAGACAGACAGACAGAGTCAACACATCTTAAAGTTGGCAAGACTGATCTATAGAAACACCCGTGGGGATTCTCAGTGATCCTCCTGTTCACGGTTGTCTCAAATCTCCATCGCCCCCATCATCTCGCCAGAACCGATGAAGCTTCTTGGATGAGAAATGAAAGGTCTTCCTCAAAGAAAAAAACAGTCCAGTTGCCTTTGGAGAGAGTAAAAAGAAAAGCACCTTTAAGATATGGTCCATAGAAATGGTTTTTTCAAGGCATATTCCTGGGGCTCCATCAGGGCTTCCCTGCAAGGCAAAACTTAAAAAAAAAAGAACCAACTCATTCAGCTAATTTTTATCATTAGAGCTCTGCCTCTTGATCGGGAGTGGGGAGTGAGTGTCCAGGTAATTTCTCATTTGTTTTTCAAATTAGTCAGCTCTGCCCCATTTGACATTCATTCATTCATTCATTCATTCATTCATTCATTCATTCATTTATTTTTAGGCATGTATTCATGTATTTATATATTTATGCATGTATTTATTTATTTAGGCATGTATTTATTTACCTATTTATTTGGGCATATATTTATTTATGCATTCATTCATTCAATGGGGTGCTGTCAATTCCAGAATGGACTGACTGTCTGTCTGTCTATCTATCTATCTATCTATCTATCTATCTATCTATCTATCTATCTATCTATC